CAGTTTGTGTGTATTAAAATTAATATTTCATGTGGTAAAATTTTTTTTTTTTCAATACTTTGGGGTGTCTTGCACGGATTAATTTGATTTCCATTATTTCTTATGGGAAAATTAACTTGACTAACGATTATTTCGATTAACGATGAGCTCTCAGGAACGGATTAATATCGCTGGTTGAGGGTCCACTGTACACAATATCATATTCATTACCATGATCTACCTCCTCAAACATCTTAGTGAAAAAAGTTAGTAACTTCGTAAGACAGGTACGCCCCTTTGTAAAACCGTGTTGAGATTCATTAATCAATCTGTGCCTATCAAGATGGCTACGAATTGCTTCGGCAATTATTGATTCCATAAATTTTCCCACTATGGAGGTAAGGCTTATTGGCCTATAGTTTGAAGCCAAGGACCTGTCACCTGCCTTGTAAATAGGTATTACATTTGCCATTTTCCACTTATCAGGCACTATGCCAGTTTTTAGTGATATGTTAAAAAGATTAGCCAAAGGTATGCTAAGTTTCTCTTTACATTCCTTTAACACCCTTGCAAACAGTTCATCAGGACCTGGGGATTTGTTAGGTTTTAGTTTCTCTATTTGTCTGAGGACCATGTCACTAGTTACTGCAATCGTGCATAGATTATTATCATCATGTTCTACATAATCTATTATTTCAGGAATATCGCTAGTATTTTCCTGGGTGAAAACTGAGAGGAAGTAGGTATTAAGAATTTCACACATATCCTTATCACTGTCAGTAATCTGACCAGAGTTACTCTTAAGTGGGCCAATCTTGTCCCTAATCTTACTTCTGTATACCTGAAAGAACCATTTTGGGTTAGTCTTTGAATCCCTTGCAACCTTAGCCTCATAATCCCTTTTTGCTTTTCTTATTCCTTTCTTTATTTCTCTTTAATTGAATATATTGATTTCTTAACTGCCCATCCCTCTTTTGATACACCTATATATGCCCTCTTTTGACAATGAATGTTTTAATCTATTGATCATCCATTTGGGATCATTTTTGTTAGATCTAATTTCCCACTGGGAACAAAATTTGGGCTGGCAGTTAGAACTATGCTCTGAAAAACGTCATATTGGCAACCATGACCACCTACCTGACCCATAGTCAGGACATCCCAATTTAGCCCACCCAAGTAATTTTTCAGTCCCATGAAGTTGGCCAAGCGAAAATCTGGGACAGAGATTTGATTGCAGCTATCTGGGTAATTCCATGATATATTGAAACTAAGTGATTTGTGATAACTTTCCCCAAGCTCATCATTAACCTCAAGATTATTAATTAGTGAATCTTCATTGGCAAGAACCAAGTCAAGTAGATTGTTTCCTCTAGTTGGTTCTGTCACAACCTGTTCTAAAAAGCAATCCTGAACCGTATCAAGAAAGTCACTAGACTCAAGATTTCCTGTCATATTGTTTCAATCAATTTGTCTAAAGTTAAAATCTCCCATTATCACAACATTTTCATATCTAGATACCTTATGAATTTCGTCCCATAACAGCTTGCTGCCCTCCCTATCAAGGTTTGGGGGCCTATAAATCACACCCAAAATTAACTTGTCACGTCCCTCGAGAAACTGTAGCCAAACAGATTCTGTGTTCGATGTTTCTAATCTTATATCATGTCTAAGACAACAATTTAAATTTTGAACATTAAAATGGTATAAAATACCGACAGGTTGTTAGGTAAGACACATATGCAACAGTTAGGTATCTTTATTTCGAAACGTTTCGCCTACACAGTAGGCTTCTTCAGTCGAGTACAGAAAAGTTGATAGAAGCAGAAGAGACTTGAAGACGATGTAATCAGTCCATCACCCTTAAAGTTTTGAGGTGGTCAGTCCCTCAGTCTGGAGAAGAGCATTGTTCCGTAGTCTGAAGCAATATGGAGTTGAAGTGACAGGATGGAGCCTTATATAGCGCCAGAAGGTGAGACGTAGGTCACTTTGGGAGGTCAGGTCCCTCTCAAATCCAGCCGTTCTCACTAGTAGAGGTTGTCGAAGTTGATTTCAGGTCTGTACCAAGATACCCTTGTGTTGCAGTGTCTGACAGATTGAACATTAAAATGGTTGTTAGGTAAGACACATATGCAACAGTTAGGTATCTTTATTTCGAAACGTTTCACCACCTCAAAACTTTAAGGGTGATGGACTGATTACATCGTCTTCAAGTCTCTTCTGCTTCTATCAACTTTTCTGTTCTCGACTGAAGAAGCCTACTGTGTAGGCGAAACGTTTCGAAATAAAGATACCTAACTGTTGCACATGTGTCTTACCTAACAATTTAAATTTTCTCTGACATACACTGCCACTCCACCACCCTTCCTGTTGACCCTATCAGTGTGGAATAGTTTATAACCTTGTATGTTGCATTCAGAAGGCATTTCTCTATCTTTCAGGTTGAACCAGGTCTCTGTTATACCAATAATATCTATATTACCTACACTTGCAAGTAATCTTAGCTCATCTATCTTATTTCTTAGACTCCTACTATTTGTATAGTAAACCTTAAGGGAGCTAGGCACTCGTTGCCCTCTACTATCTTTCTTTGTTTGTTGATCATTTGATTTGCCATTACTAGCAACTTTATTTTGAACATTGTCTTTTAAAACATATCCCTGAGGTATCCCGTAATAACAGCTGTTTTTAACCCTAATGCTGCAGCCTAAATTGGGTTTCCCAAAAACACCCATACCTCTATAATCAAATCAGTTTAAATTCCTAGACAAATCATCAATTACCCTCTCAATCGAATTGGCTAATGCAACCACTCCATCCCCAGAGAGATGAACCCCATCCCTTGCATACATATCATTTTTGCTAAAGAATAGGTCCCAGTTATCAATGAAGGGGATTGCAAGTTCCTTGCAGTACCTGTCTAGCCAGCAATTTATACCAATTGCCCTAGACATCCATTCATTGCCCACTCCCTTTCTAGGCAAGATGCTACATATGACTAGGAACCCTCCCTTAGACCTAACTACTTCTGTGGCTGACTCTGTACTTATCCAGCGGCTCTTCTCTCCTGCTCTTCCCAATGTCATTACCCCCAGCACTAAGACAGATAATGGGCTTGTTCCCATTACCTGCCATAATATTATCCAACCTGCTGACTGTCACCAACACCAGCTCCAGGAAGACACACTCTCTGTCTGACCTTTCTGTTTCTGTTACAAAATGCACAGTCCATATATCTTAGAATCGCCTACTATTAAAATATTCTTACCTTGATTAGCAGGGGCATCAGCGGTACCTTCAACCTCACTAACCACTGAAGTACACTCGTCTTGGAGAACAGAGAATCGATTTCCTACCTTCACATTTTCTCTATTAACTCTCCTCATCTTCCTTCTTCCTGAACTGTGAACCATTTGCCACTTAAAGCGGCTGCCACTATCACTGCTGGTGACCATTTCCTCCTTACCAGCTAAATCCTTTTCACACTCACTCCCAAACTCATCTATACGAAGCTTCAGCCTCATATTTTCCTCCTGAAGAAGTAGAATCTCCTTCTTCGACACTTGAATCTGAGATTCTAAAACACTACAACAAGCCATTGTGCTTGGTAACAGCCCACGCTAACTCCCAAGAGCTTAGGCAGGTATGACCACACGTGATCACTGACCTCAGCGTACTGGCCACTGACCTCAGCGTACTGACCACTGACCTAAGCCAAGAATTTTGTACACTTTTTTTTTTTATGGAAAAGAATTGGGTATCTATTGTGGAAACATTTTGTCAGCCATTGGCATTGTCAGTCCAGTGCTAAGAATGGTGGAAATGAGAGAGTTTCAGGTAATCAGTCCCTCAGCCTGGAGATGTGTTTAGTCTGTCAATCTTGATAAAAGTTAAGCATATGTGTGGAGAAGGGGTTTATGTATTGCAGACAGGTAAGGTGAAGCAGTTGTAGGTGGCATCACAAAATCCATTGGTGTAAGCAGGTCATGACTATAGGCTAGGTAAGTGTGAAGAATTTCTTGTATCTAGATCCCAAGATGCTGCTGTGCCTAATTCATCAACAATGTAGTGTTATTTTCCAAAATTTGAGATACATTGTATGTACAGTCTGCAGTATTTTTCTTTTGTTGAATACTGATCCTTGTTTTTGGGTGTCTGAGAGTTGGTAATTATGGTAGAATTACTAACTTTGTTAGATAAAAGGACACATCTTCAACTAATATTGACATTTTATTGTGGCAGCATTTCACTTCAGGAGCTTTGTAATGGCTTGACAAAGCTCCTGGAGAGTGAAATACGTATTGCCACATTGAAATGTCACATAAAGGGCCCCAAAATATGGAATTCATTACCAGAAGATATTAAAATAACCCAGTCTGAAAATCAATTTAAGACTCTTCTCAAAAGCCACTTAATCACCCTAGACTAAATGCTAAATACTCAGTATACATTTACTCACCTATGTACTCCCACATCATAACTGAAACAATCACTTTGAACCTTTTATCCATTGTTGACAGGAATATAATTGAATCATTGTTTTCACAAAAAGCATTTTCGAATATAAATATATCTTTGTATTATACAAATTTTGATTCATTTATAATTAATATTCTACTGTACAACTATGAAATAATTACTATCCTGCTGTACAACTATGATATACTCCTTAGTGTTAAGTAGACTGTAAGCCAATAATGTTAAGTTGGCCCATAATGCCAGGCATGATAGAGGTTCTCTTTGCATTGCAACCCACTATTGTAAATATAAAATCTCAATGTACTGTTTGGAAAGACATAAAATAAATAAATAAATAAATTGCACAAATGTCCTTTTACCAGATATATTGTACATATAGTCTTGAGGTTAATAACTCACAGCAACCTCTAATGCAGTATGTTTATGGCTCTCTTTTAATGCTATCAGAAAGTTATAAAACTATTCCCACATTCAAGGAAATAAACAAAATTTTTTCTTTACTTCACTGATGATTTTTGCAAATGGAATTGACTAACCTGTAGTTCAATATTGTTGTCCCAAGGTTGGATTTAAGGGATTTGGCCTACCAGCTGATACACACGACAAAACTGTTCCATTTGTGTACGAAAGTAAAGAGTACACCCTGAAGCATGGGTCAGTAGTGATTGCTGCCATTACATCATGCACCAACACCAGCAACCCATCTGTAATGCTAGGGGCTGGTAAGTACATTCTCCCAGCATATCTTCTGCTGAGCTTATCATGTGCAAATCTCTTCTAGAGTAGTCTAAATTCAGGCTTTCTTCACTAGATACTCATTCACTATTATGTAATGATCCTTGTGTTGGCAATTCCATCTGAGTGATATACATTCACCATATGTGATTAGTGCAGTTAGTAAAATTTATTGACTATTCCATTATCTTCCAGGTATAGTATGTGTTACTAGGTATATTTCTCTTTTCCACTCCTGAGAGTGCATTCCAAGTATTTAACATGCCTTGTTCACTATTTGGTCAGAAAACAATCTCTAAATGTTCCAGTTTTGATGTTTATCATTCTTTGAAGAGAGCTGTGAGCACAGAACAATATTTTAGATGCGAGAGCACAAGTAATGAGAATTGTATGATCAGTTGCATTATTTCTCCTTAAAAGTTCTCATTTACCCAGTTTTCCTGGAATTTACTTTATTTGCCTTATTGTTTTCTCTAAATGATAGGTCACCTGACATTATTATTTCAACGTCTTTTTACATGTTCTTGGTATTTTATGAAATGGTTCTTTTTAGTTTCTCATTCTTTCCAGTTGGAATTTGTGCCCATTAAACAACTCATTATTTTTCATTGCTCACTTTATACTTGGTTAATATCTAATTTTTTTGTCTTTTACTGAGGCAATTTTCATGCTTATTTTGGTACCATCTGCAAAGGATGATATCAAGCTGTGGCAAGTATTGTATTTTTGTCTTTCTGCTGTGATGAGAAACAGTAAGAATATATGATAAAACCATTTTAACCCTGTTATCACCATTCTGGAACTTGTTTTCCATATTCCATATAATGTTCACACTATACATTCTTCTCTCAAATATAACTAAACAGTGATCATAGATTTTATTGAATCTTTAAAAATCTTGGCATTCATTACTGTATTAGGGTAAGGGGTAAAGTTACAGGCAAGAGCTAAGTGGTTGGGTACTCTGTTGGGTCATTCTTGAGCGAATGTAGGTACTGATTATATGCATACTGGTACTATAAGAATTGACAGTTTGTACACTGTGTGACATTGTTAGTATCATTACTGATTTGATACCCAGGCTGTATATAGAAGAAAGAACTAGTAATGAAGCTCAGTAATTTGTCTTAAGTTTAGTCAGTATTTATCTGCTAACAGAAAGTTGTATCCTTGTTAGCATATACATCTTTTATAAGATGAACTGACCATCTGTAATACATAGTATCCCAATTTTCATTTGCACTAGGTTTGCTAGCAAAAAAGGCTGTGGAGGCTGGATTGGTTGTTGCTCCATACATCAAGACATCGTTATCACCTGGATCTGGAGTAGTGACCCACTACCTGCAGCATTCAGGTGTCACTCCATTCCTTGCAAAACTTGGCTTTGATATTGTTGGATACGGGTGCATGACCTGCATTGGAAACTCAGGTCCTTTACCAGAATCGGTTGTCGAAGCCATTGAAAAGGTAAGTACTTTTTTGTAATTCAAGCAAGAAATCTATAATCAGTATTCCAAAAAAATCAGTATCCATTGATCATGATTGAAAAAATGTATTTGGCTAAAAGAACACAGATTATTGAATAATAACAAAAAAAGGCACAATACCATGACTGGAATGATACACAAATAACCCGCACATAGAAGGGAGAAGCTTGCGACAACGTTTCGGTCCGACTTGGACCATTTACAAAGTCACTTTGTGACTTTGACAAAGTGACTTTGTAAATGGTCCAAGCTGGACCGAAACGTCGTCGTAAGCTTCTCCCTTCTATGTGCGGGTTATTTGTGTATTATTGAATAATCTTTAGAAAATATTAATTATAGACTTAGTACTAGTGCCAGAACATCAGCTTATTTTTGATGTTTTGAACTAATGCATGTAATTATAGGTGAAAGTTTTTGTATAAAAAGTTTTTTTTTTTTTTTTTACTACCTGTTAATGATATGTGAATGAGATGCAGGAAAATTTCTGATTGTGGCTGTATGGAAAGAGTATTTAACCCCTTCAGGGTCCAAGGCCCAAATCTGAAGTGGTGCCCCAGTGTCCAAGAATTTAAAAAAAAAAAATTTGTTATTTTTTCTTATGAAATGGTAGAGAATCTTTTTGTGAAGGTAATAAAACAAAAAGTATGAAATTTGATGGAAAATTGATGAAATTATGCTCTCGCGAATTTTGATGTGTCAGCGATATTTACGAATCGGCGATTTTGCCGACTTTGACTCCCATTTTAGGCCAATTATATTATTCCAGTCAACCAAATTCTTAGCTATTTCACTAGTATTACTTCTATTCTATCGATTGAACACAAGAAATCGCCAAGTCAACTGTTTCAACTACAAATTAAAGTGATCGGAAATTGTTAATTTAGCCAATTTAACACAAAGTTCAAAATTTTTCCAATTTCAAAATAGGGTCCAGAATAAACAATGTAGGTATTCCTGGAACTAAACTAACATTTCCTCTGTTCATTAGTTACGTTTTGAGGCTTTACAAATAAATTCCATTTTTATTTTTTATTCACATAATGAATTTTTATTCACACCAAAAAATAGAAGATTTACTGTTATGCAATACTGTAATAATTGTATAAATATCATCACCATATTTGTGAATGCATATTAGACCCAGCAGCTGGCGTGTATTAGACGTGTGAGGTCGTTTGTTTACTCTTGAATATCGGCAAAAATTTAACACATTTCTGCTACTTTGAGCTCAGTTTCAAGCCATTTCCAGTGCTAAAACCAATCAAAATCATCTCGATTTCTGTAATATGTCTTCCATTCTATAAAATGAGACCAATAAATCGCAAATAGAACTATAAAAAACATAAGAAAAAACACTGCAAAGTTGCTGTTTTAATCGAAATATCGTGATTTCAGTTTTTTTCTCTCATTATACACAGCGCGCTGCAGGATCTGTTTTATGTGGTGCACACATACCACATAGATGTATTCTCTCATATCTAGGCCCAAATGTACCACTCACAGTTTATCAGAGTGAGCTGAGCTCATGACGTAGATCTACGGTTTGGACCCTGAACGTAAAGCCGTAGATCTACGGGACGGACCCTCAAAGGGTTAAAGCTAAAGTAGAGTTGTTTATAGTGAAATATGAATTGTATTTGGTATAAACAGTGAAATTGCTGTCATTATAGTCTTGTGAACACAATGTTATAGCTACTTCCAGTCCTGAAACCAACCAAAATCATCTCTTATTTCAGTAGTATGTTTTCCATTCTATCAGATGATACCAAGATTCAAGACAATAAAACTATTTTGTTTTTCCCATCATGCACCACATGGGGCAGGATTTTTTAATATACTGTGCAGGCCCATTCTCTCATATCTAGGCCAAAATTTACGATTCACAGCTTATCTTAGTGAGGTGAGCTCATGACGTAGAACTACGTCAGGGACCCTGGCCTTAATGATGTAGTTCTATGTGACAGTCACTGAAAAGCTTAAACAATATATTCAAGCTTACTGGACTTTATAATGTCTCATTATTCAAGAAATTTAAACCCACCTCTACCATTTTTTCACAGAACGACCTTGTTTGTTGTGGAGTTCTCTCAGGAAATCGTAATTTTGAGGGTCGAATTCACCCCAACACCCGTGCAAATTATTTGGCTTCTCCACTTCTGGTCATTGCATATGCCCTTGCTGGAAGAGTTGATATTGATTTTCAGAAAGAACCTCTTGGTAAGTATACCTTTGTTCATTTCTGGTGAATACCTTTAGAAATATATGATCCAATTTTGCAATTTTTTTTTTTTTTTTTAGACATGTTCTATGATTGTGTTCCTCTAATATGATTTTTCATCACATTTAAGACCTTTGCAACTTTTATATATAGTGAGAGTCTCACATCCTCAATTTTTCATTAGTGGTTTTGTCATAACTTCTTTTTCAATTACTGTTCTTCCCATTTAGAGCCCAGGTAATAGTAAAGACACATTTTGCTTTCATTATATTTGATTATAAAATCACTTGTTATTAAATAACTTTTGTAGTTTATTTATTTTTTTTTTTTTAATTTTTCAAGTTTAACCCGTAAACGATCCAAACGTATTTATATGTTTTTTCAACATTTGAAAGTATGTAAAAAAAGTAGATCTTCTTTTTGTTTTTTTTTACATTTGAAAATGTGTAAAAAAAATTTGATCTACTTTTTTTTTTTTTATATTTGAAAATATGTAAAAAAAACGTAGATCTGCTTTTGTAGCACTACACATGTGAACGTAGATCTGCTTGGGCCGTTTACGGGTTAAATGAATTTTTTTGTCCAACACATCATCCGTCTCCCACTGAGTTGGGAGAATGCCCCCTAAGAAAAAACTTTCACCATCATTCACACATAATTACTGTCTTTGCAGAGGTGCTCAAATACAACAGTTTAGATGTCACTCTAAACAGCTAATATCCCAAACCCCTCCTTTAAAGTGCAGGCATTTACTTATCACCTCCAGGACTCAAGTCCAGCTAACTAGTTTCCTTGAATCCCTTCACAAAATATTACCCTGCTATCACTCCAACAACTCGTCAGGTCTCAAAAACCATTCATCTCCATTCACTCCTATGTAACACACTCACACATGCCTGCTGCATGTGTGAGCGTGTTATCCCCTCCCTCCATCCTTTCCTCAGATGACCCCTACCCCTCCTCCCCTCCAAGTCATCCTTCAGTATTTTGCTCCATCCTTTCTAAATGACCAAACCGCCTTAATAACCTCTTCTCAGCCCTCTGAATAATGTTTTTAGTAACTCCACACCACATAATTTCTCTTGTATATCCTCCCAAATTCATTAACTAACTTCTCTTCAGAATCTCCCAAAAGAACCATGTCAACAGGAAAAAAGAACTGTATTAGATTAACTATCTCTTAGTCCCATACACCCAAGACCCTAACATTCACTTTCTTCAGCCCTATCTATAAATACGTTAAATGACCATGGTGACATCACACATCTCTGTTTAAGGACTACTTTTACTGGAAAATAACCTCCCTCTCTCCTCTGTACCCTCTGAGCCTCGCTATCCACATACAATCTCTTGACCGTTTTAAGTAACCTACCACTTGTTCATTACATTTGCAACATCTGCCACATTGCTTCCTTATGCACCCTGTCATATGCTATATTTTTTTCAATAACCTGGCTATATCCCACTGAGGCATGGTAACCCAAAAAAGAAGAAAGGGAAGTTTTTCTTGTTACATTTAGTAATTTATACAGTAGTAAAAAAAGGGTTACTAGCCCCTTGCTCTTGGCATTTTAGTCATGTGTTACAACATGCATAGCTAACAATACTAACAAAAAAAGGCAAAAACTTTGAAGATAAGATTGCTTATTTACTGTTCAGACACTAACAAATGTCTAACCCTAAGACTGAGTACAGACTTCACATTGTATTATACAGAAGATTTGTACTACTGTATAAAATTATGATGTATATTTTAGGTTACAAAATAGAAGGTTAATGAATGCATTTTCTTAAATAGGTCACAGCGAGAGTGGTGATGCTGTGTTCCTACGTGACATTTGGCCTCAGCGTTCAGAGATCCAAGCTGTTGAACAAGAGCATGTGATACCAGTTATGTTCAAGGAAGTATATTCCCGCATTACAACGGGAAATGTCCGTTGGAACAAACTGGAAGCTCCTGAAGGCATGCTCTACCCATGGGACTCTAAATCTACATATATCAAGAGGCCCCCATTTTTTGATTCCATGAAAAAGGTTAGAATATTTAATATAAAAGTTATGAATGTACATCTTAGAATCTGTAGTGGAGGGAAGGATGGGTTGGTGTCTTCCTAGGAAAGGTTGGAGGGAGGGGGTAAAGGCAGTTTTATGTGCAAGGGGCTTGGGCATCCAACAGGCATGTGCAGGTGTGTTAAATAAGAATGAGTAGAGGCAAGTGGTTTTTATGACTTGACATGCTTGGGAATGTGAAGGGGTTCAGGGAAATCAGTTAGCCAGACTTGAATCCTGGAGGTGGGAAGTACTGTTCTTGCACTCTGAAGGAGGGGTGGGTATATTACAGTTTGGAGAGGCATCCGAGCTGTAATGTTGCATGCTTCTGGCAAGACAGTGATAAGAGTGAGTGAGTGTTTCTTCTTTTTCAGGTCACTACTTCAGTGGGAAATGGCCTTCCACCTGTCATTAAAGTATGACAGGTGGAAGGCATCCTATGTAGTATTATATCTAAAGCAGTGCCCTACTCTGGTACATTTGTTGAGGAGACAAAAAGTGATACTGGCCTGGCAACTCAAAATGGGACATCTTAGGATTAACTGTGGTTACTGGCTGCATCCTAGGTTTATTTTGAGCTTGTGTGTTGGATGTTTTTGTGTCTGTGGTATCCCCTGCATTGTGGTTTTTGAGGACCAAGTTTGTTGGATATTTTCGGCTATTGACAAATTAATGTGGGCAGGAGTAAGTTGCTGACCCAGTGGAGAGTTGCAAAGATTACATAAGGCAGGCCATTAAATGAAGAAAATAAAAGAAGCCCTGTGTAACATTTGTGAGCATCCAGTGAGGACTTGGCTTTATCAGTTACTTGAGGACAGTGTTCATGACATTCCCACACCAAAAGCACAGAAATGTATTAATTGTAGTAACATAATTAGAATTGGTCTGTTATCATTTACCAGCATCTTTCACTCAGTGAGATGCAAGATTATTGTACAAGATAGTGCTCCTTGCCACACCACAAAATCTGTTGCTCATTGGCTTCATGACTGTAAAGTACCCTTCTTCAATGACTGACCAGGAAACTCCCCAGATATGAACCCCATAGAGAACCTCTGGGCTGAGATAGAGAGATCTACTCCCATGGCTTGAGGATGTCATCTGCAAGTCATGGGGAAATTTACATCATGAAACCTTGAAGAATGTGTTAAACACTTCATAAACAGTTAAAAGATGTCATAAAGAGCAAGATTTGACTAATTTTTTTAATTTTTGTTTATAAAACTCCATTAATATCTGTTTCTTTCTCCACAGGAGTTGCCACCTATTGAGAGCATTAAGAATGCTCATGTTCTCCTTAAACTTGGGGATTCAGTAACCACAGACCACATATCACCAGCTGGCTCTATTGCTCGAAATTCTCCTGCAGCCCGTTACCTGGCATCTCGTGGGTAAGTCACAGAGCACAATATTCTTTCTGCTAGTGTTTTTCTGAATATTTTTGTATGCACAAGTTTCCCTTAATAGAATTATTTTCGCATGTACAATATACCATATTTTAAGATTTAGTAGCAGTCATAATAGATGTGTTTTGTGATGTTAGCCTTCCTTTCTTAGTGTACAATGAAAGGCCTACATAAAGTTCCAGATATATAGACCTGTCTGTCAAGGAGATTTTAATATGCAACTGAAGCTAGGAAAAATGGATGTTAAGATTAGCTTTGTTACTTAATTTTCATAAACAGTGAGTAAAAATCATATAAAAGAACATGCTGATGTTTTACACATAAAACAGTACAGCAGTTCCTCAATGAATTACTTGTCTTTATTCACAAATTTAGCACTCTATTGTTTTTTAACAGCATGATTCTGCATTAGACAATACATTTACTGTTAATGGCACTAGCTGCTTTTGTAGTAGGGGTATCGACATTACAGTCCAGAGTTCAGAAATTTCACTTCCCAATTTTTTTTACACTCCAGCAGCTTGTTAACTCAGGTATACCAAGCACTTTTGTATAACATTTTCTCAAATGATTATGCCAAATTATTCCATTCTTTCTCTGTGATCAAATTGTGTTCATTTGATACTATCTATATAGCATTCACACAACACATTTGTACTGCCCCAACCTCTTCCCTGCTACAACAGTCAAAGACCATTCTTAACATTCATACAAAATCATTGGTACTCCTACAGTACAGTTTTATTCTGCATCCATTGTTAGTGAAGCCTTAGATATAATTACAGGGAAGATATTTAATTGTCTTCAACTACATGTTTACTTTGTAATCGAGATCAGGCACTTAAAACTTCTTTCCTGCTTGTTTTGCATTCAATTCTCCCTTAATATCTATATTCCCAGCTGGCTTAAAATTCTTTGAACATTCAGTAATTCCTCCTTTAAGAATCTTTCTAGTATTTTTAGCATAATGTGCTTATCTTCATTTGCAGTCTGACACCCCGTGAATTTAATTCCTATGGCTCCCGAAGGGGCAACGATGCTGTGATGGCTCGTGGAACATTTGCAAACATCAGACTTATAAACAAGCTGGTTGGAAAGTCTGGGCCATACACCATTCACATACCATCAGGAGAAGAGGTACTAAGTTACATTCATGCAGTAATGCTAAATGTATTTTTATATTCATCCTAATTTTACTTCATAAATCTTGTTCAGAAACCTATCTTAACTTGTAACTGAGTAGATATTAATTTATCTTATTTTAAAAAAAATGTTACTTTTTTTGGTTAAATATCTCCAAGTTAATTTTTAAATTGTCATACTACTATAGAGAGTAGTAGGTAAGTATGGGGTGCCATGTGTAAATGATAATGGGGGCCTTTAAGGGGGCTGTAGGGCAAATTTCGTAACTCGTTTATTTACCGTCCGATTTTCTCCAGTTTTGGTGCACAAGACAAAGTGTTCTCACTCTTTCTTGAAAATATTTATAAAAAATATACCTCAAACAACAACTGAGAAAAGACTGATTTACTGAAAATGCCCTCTGGGGTGATGTCATTCTTAATGGGGCTACGTAAGGTTGTTTGGACACTTGGTGCCGAGAGAACAATGCTAATACTAATTCGGACCGTTATATTTCCCTCTAAATACCTTATCGTTATTTCACAAAAAAATAAAGTTTGTTAGTTTCTGGAATATGGCAAAAAAATCTGCCCTTTACTCCCACATAACTCCCGAAGTATTTGGAATATTTCCAAAAACTCAACGGTCCACATAAGAGAAATCATTATTCTACAGTATCTGTGAATATTATTCCATTTAATTAAGTAATAAAGGAACCACTTCGAATTATAGGTGAATAAGTTACTTCCGAGATATCGGCCGGGAACGCCGGCCGATAAACACCGTTTTCTCTTACTCAGAGACGACAGGGTAACCAGTTACACTTTTTATATCGAAATATTCCCGATAATCTCTGGGCCATATTATGGCCTATTTTATTCAGTCTAGAGTATATAACATGTTTGTATGTTATTTAGAGTGTTTATTATATCATATTAGATCAATTCTGATAGACAACTAAGCCGTAGAGTTGATATATAAGCTGATATAAGCGTAATAATGGGCGATTCCTGGCTGGCACCTCGAGCGCTGGAACACTGCTGAGCGTTCCCATCTGGTTCCCGGTAGTCACTAAGTCTGCGGATAAGTCCCGCCTACTGTTTTATGATGCCAAATAGTCAGTTATTATATTAGAAAGAATAATGCAAGAAAAGGCGATAAAAAACAAGAAAATAACTCCAAAAAATATATAGGCCGTGAGCAGACTCGCTACCAACATCGCCGTCACCATACCTGATATAAATGACTATAATTTCTTGTAGAAACGTCGTAGAACATTCATTCTGGTACCATTGTGTTGCCAAAGAGTTGAGCTATTTTTCAGTATATATAACTCAATATCCATATTTTTTTTATTTTTCGGTGAGCGCGCGCGGAAAATTGCCCTGTAGCACCCTTAACGCCTTAACTGTCTAATGTAGAACTACATTCTTACCGCTAGTGCTCCAAATGTAGAACCACGTTCTTACCGCAAGTGCTCCAAATGTAGATCTGTTTTATTTTTCCTGCCTCCATATTTGGCACGATTGGCCTGAGATGCTTGGTCAGCATAGAATGGGTCTTAACCCTTGGTGTGTGCAGTATTAAAAAATCTGGGACCACTTAGTACTTTGAGGGAGCACCAGTTCAATTGAGTGCCAGCTAGAGCAGACAGCACAGCAAACACCAAGGATTCACTGATGTCATGGCATATTAACACTCCCATTTTAAGAGGAAAGTGATGTTGACCCTGAGTTTGGTGGCTTTGAGGTGGATGTGGCCACAAGCGGTCGTGGAAATATAAAAAACCTCAATAATAACCCATGTGCAACATTTGTGCAACACCCTTTTAATTTTGGTACCACTGCTAGTGTCATCCTGCCAGAATGTCCTATAACCTATCTCCTAAGTAAAAAGAAACAATTCTGGAGCGTGTAATACGTGTTCAGCAGACTGGCTGGCTGACGGCTGGCTGATTGGCTGTCTCTATCTTCGTCTGTCTGTCCATATCTATCTCTGTCTATCTCTTTCTCTGTATCTCTGTCTCTGTCTGTCTCACAGAAACACGTACATAAATACAATTATACATAGTGTAAATTACCTAGGATAACCCAAAAAATCCAGACAAAGTGCTATACTGTGCTTGTAGATAAAATTCATAATAAACATGAGTGGCAACTGTCAAGTAATACGCATTTTCACTTGTTCAGGAAGCAGATGTGATTGTGTGTAATACCAGTTGGATCATGAGCAACTCTGAGACAAGAGAGACAGGCAGACAGAAAGACAGAGCTAGACAGACAAATAGACACAGAGCTAGACAGACATGTTTATTTGTAACATTGAAAACAAATAAAGCAAAAGCAGTGTACGCTCATAAAATTTCACCATTAGCTGCACTGGCAGCAGTGGAGTGACACACATCTTACATTATGCTTCAAGGGAACATTATTATTATTTTTTTTTTTCAACGCACCAGCCGTATCCCACCAAGGCAGGGTGGCCCAAAACGAAAAATGAAAGTTTCTCCTTTTACATTTAGTAATATATACAGGAGAAGAGGTTACTAGCCCCTTGCTCCCGGCACTTTAGTCGCCTCTTACGACACGCATGGCTTACGGAGGAAAAATTCTGTTCTACTTCCCCATGGAGATAAGAGGAAATAGACAAGAACAAGAACTAGAAAGAAAATAGAAGAAAACCCAGAGGGGTATGTATATATATGCTTGTACATGTATGTGCAGTGTGACCTAAGTGTAAGTAGAAGTAGCAAGACGTACCTGAAATCTGGCATGTTTATGAAACGGAAAAAAGGACACCAGCAATCCTACCATCATGTAAAAACAATTACAGGCTTTTGCTTTACACTCACTTGGCAGGACAGTAGTACCTCCCTGGGCAGTTGCTGTCTACCAACCTACTACCTATAATTTTTTTTTTTTTTTTTTTTTTTTCAACAAGTCGGCCGTCTCCCACCGAGGCAGGGTGACCCAAAAAAAAGAAAGAAAATCCCCAAAAAGAAAATACTTTCATCATCATTCAACACTTTCACCACACTCGCACATTATCACTGTTTTTGCAGAGGTGCTCAGAATACAACAGTCTAGAAGCATACACACATAAAGATACACAACATATCCCTCCAAACTGCCAATATCCCAAACCCCTCCTTTAAAGTGCAGGCATTGTACTTCCCATTTCCAGGACTCAAGTCCGACTATATGAAAATAACCGGTTTCCCTGAATCCCTTCACTAAAATATTACCCTGCTCACACTTCAACAGATCGTCAGGTCCCAAGTACCATTCGTCTCCATTCACTCCTATCTAACACGCTCATGCACGCTTGCTGGAAGTCCAAGCCCCTTGCCCACAAAACCTCCTTTACCCCCTCTTTCCAACCCTTTCGAGAACGACCCCTACCCCACCTTCCTTCCCCTAATAGATTTATATGCTTTCCATGTCATTCTACTTTGATCCATTCTCTCTAAATGACCAAACCACCTCAACAACCCCTCTTCTGCCCTCTGACTAATACTTTTATTAACTCCACACCTTCTCCTAATTTCCACACTCCGAATTTTCTGCATAATATTTACACCACACATTGCCCTTAAACAGGACATCTCCACTGCCTCCAACCGTCTCCTCGCTGCTGCATTTACCACCCAAGCTTCACACCCATATAAGAGTGTTGGTACTACTATACTTTCATACATTCCCTTCTTTGCCTCCATAGATAACGTTTTTTGACTCCACATATACCTCAACGCACCACTCACCTTTTTTCCCTCATCAATTCTATGATTAACCTCATCCTTCATAAATCCATCCGCCGACACGTCAACTCCCAAGTATCTGAAAACATTCACTTCTTCCATACTCCTCCTCCCCAATTTGATATCCAATTTTTCTTTATCTAAATCATTTGACACCCTCATCACCTTACTCTTTTCTATGTTCACTTTCAACTTTCTACCTTTACACACATTCCCAAACTCATCCACTAACTTTTGCAATTTTTCTTTAGAATCTCCCATAAGCACAGTATCATCAGCAAAAAGTAACTGTGTTAATTCCCAATTTGAATTTGATTCCCCATAATTTAATCCCACCCCTCTCCCGAACACCCTAGAATTTACTTCTTTTACAACCCCATCTATAAATATATTAAACAACCATGGTGACATTACACATCCCTGTCTAAGACCTACTTTTACCGGGAAGTAGTCTCCCTATCTTCTACACACCCTAACCTGAGCCTCACTATCCTCATAAAAACTCTTTACAGCATTTAGTAACTTACCACCTATTCCATATACAGTGGACCCCCGCTTAACGATCACCTCCAAATGCGACCAATTATGTAAGTGTATTTATGTAAGTGCGTTTGTACGTGTATGTTTGGGGGTCTGAAATGGACTAATCTACTTCACAATATTCCTTATGGGAAAAAATTCGGTCAGTACTGGCACCTGAACATACTACTGGAATGAAAAAAGTTCGTTAACCGGGGGTCCACTGTACTTGCAACATCTGCCACATTGCTCCCCTATCCACTCTATCATATGCCTTTTCTAAATCCATAAATGCAATAAAAACTTCCCTATCTTTATCTAAATACTGTTCACATATATGCTTCAATGTAAACACTTGATCAACTGACAAATCCATACTTTCCCTAGGCTTTCTTAACTTGTTTAACTCACTCCAAAATTTTTTCTTATTTTCATTAAAATTTCTTGACAGTGCCTCTCCCACTCTATCATCTGTTCTCCTTTTGCACTCTCTCACCACTCTCTTCACCTTTCTTTTACTGTCCATATACTCTGCTTTTTTTATAACACTTCTGCTTTGTAAAAACCTCTCATAAGCTAACTTTTTCTCTTTTATCACACCCTTTACTTCATCATTCCACCAATCACTCCTCTTTCCACCTGCCCCCACCCTCCTATAACCACAAACTTCTGCCCCACATTCTAATACTGCATTTTTAAAACTATTCCAACCCTCTTCAATCCCCCCACTACTCATCTTTGCACTAGCCCACCTTTCTGCCAACAGTCGCTTATATCTCCCCCGAACTTCCTCCTCTCTTAGTTTATACACTTTCACCTCCCTCTTACTTGTTGTTGCCACCTTCCTCTTTTCCCATCTACCTCTTACTCTAACTGTAGCTACAACTAAATAATGATCCGATATATCAGTTGCCCCTCTATAAACATGTACATCCTGGAGCCTACCCATCAACCTTTTATCCACCAATACATAATCTAACAAACTACTTTCATTACGTGCTACATCATACCTTGTATATTTATTTATCCTCTTTTTCATAAAATATGTATTACTTATTACCAAATTTCTTTCTACACATAGCTCAATTAAAGGCTCTCCATTTACATTTACCCCTGGCACCCCAAATTTACCTACTACTCCCTCCATAACATTTTTACCCACTTTAGCATTGAAATCCCCAACCACCATTACTCTTACACTTGATTCAAAACTCCCCACGCATTCACTCAACATTTCCCAAAATCTCTCTCTCTCCTCTACACTTCTTTCTTCTCCAGGTGCATACACGCTTACTATAACCCACTTTTCACATCCAATCTTTATTTTACTCCACATAATCCTTGAATTAATACATTTATAGTCCCTCTTTTCCTGCCATAGCTTATCCTTCAACATTATTGCTACTACTCCTTTAGCTCTAACTCTATTTGAAACCCCTGACCTAATCCCATTTATTCCTCTCCATTGAAACTCTCCCACCCCCTTCAGCTTCGTTTCACTCAAAGCCAGGACATCCAGCTTCTTCTCATTCATAACATCCACAATCATCTCTTTCTTATCATTTGCACAACATCCACTCACTTTCAGACTTCCCACTTTGACAATTTTCTTCTTCTTATTCTTTTTAGTAATCTTTACAGGAAAAGGGGTTACTAGCCCATTATTCCCGGCATTTTAGTTGACTTTTACAACACGCATGGCTTACGGAGGAAAGATTCTTATTCCACTTCCCCATGGATATAAAAGGAAAAGTAATAAGACCAAGAACTATTAAGATAAAATCAAAGAAAACTCAGATGAGTGTGTATAAATAAACGTGTACATGTATGTGTAGTGTGACCTAATTGTAAGTAGAAGTAGCAAGACATACCTGTAATCTTGCATATTTATGAGACAGACAAAAGACACCAGGAATCCTACCGTCATGTAAAACAACTACAGGCTTTTGTTTTACATTCACTTGGCAGGACGGTAGTACCTCCCTGGGTGGCTGCTGTCTACCAACCTACTACATATATAATTATAATTATCGGAACATAAAAGTTATACAAATTAAAAAAAAAAAAAGGAGAAAAGAAGGTATATCAGAAACACTTCTGCAAGCTGCAACGCTTCATGTTGCCACAAGCTTTTACATTACTTTATGTAAAAAAATGTTCTCTTCATTTAAAAAAAAAAAAAACTTTTTTTTTTTCCAAAATATTTGGAGCGTTGGGCTAGTGAATGTAGATCTACATTTGGACAGTTAAGGGGTTAATTGAATTTTGTATGCAAATAATAGATAATGCATATTTTAAGAAAAAGAGGATAAATATATACACAAGATGTGATATAGGTAATGCGTATTTTAAGAAAATGAGGATAAATATGTACACCTACCATCCGACTTATAACCTTCTCGACATACGACCACTCGACTTACAACCATGTGTTTTATGCCAGATTTCTGGGAAATAAACAACTGTTTGTGTTGTACACAGTGTTTATCATAAACCTTACAGTATAAAAGACAGTACTAACAGCATAAAAAGTAAAGTAAAAAATGAAATACCAAAATAAAACAATAAAATAAAATCATTACAATAGTGTGATGTTGATATTCAGTAGTAAGATTAGACTTATGTCCATTTTGACTTACGACCGGTTGGTCAGAACCAAGCTTGGTCATAAGTTAGATGGTACCTGTATACAAAATGTGATACAGGGCATAATGTGGAAAACCACAAGTTTCCTGTGTAATGTAATGACGTACTTGTAAGGGAGGTGAGAGAGAGGCATGCTAGCCAATGCATTAGTAAACAAGGTTGGAGGAAGGGGGTGAAGGTTTTGCATGAGAGGGGCTTAGATATCCAACAGTCTTATGTAAGAGTGTTAGATATAAGTGAGTGGAGGCAAGTTGTTTTTATGATGTGACGTGTATGTTGGATAGTGAGCAAGATAACATTGATGAAGGGATATAGGAAAAACAGTGAGCTGGACTCGAGTCCTGGAGGTGGGAAGTACAGTGCCTGCACTATGAGGGAAGGGTGGGGGATATTGTAGTTTGGAGGGACATCTGAGCTGTAATATTGACATGCCTCTGGCAAGATCATTTGGATTTTAGTAAAGCCTTCGATAGAGTACCTCACAAGAGAGACTTAAGAAAAGTGGCAGCTCATGGTATAGGAGATAAAGTTCTAGCATGGATAGAGGCATGGCTTACCAATAGAAAGCAGAGAGTTACCATTAATGGAGTGAAATCTGAATGGGATTAGTCACTAGTGGCATTCCACAAGGATCAGTTTTAGGCCCTCTTTCTTCCTCATAATTTACATTAATGACCTTAATGAAGGGATTACTAGTGACTTGAGTAAATTTGCTGATGATACAAAGATAGGCCGTATAATTCACTCTGAGGAGGATAGCAATGAACTCCAAGAGGATTTGGACAAATTAATGTCTTGGTCTGAAAAATGGCAGATGAAGTTCATTGTTGATAAGTGTAAGGTACTAGCCCTTGGTAATGAAAATAACCCTCGAAGCTATAATCTAGGTGAAGTAGAGCTTGATCATACAGAATGTGAAAAGGACTTGGGAGTCATGGTGAGCAGAAATCTAAAGCCAAGACAGCAGTGCCTTAGTGTGTGCAACAAGGCCAACAGATTACTTGGATTTATCTCAAGAAGTATAAGTAACAGAAGTCCAAAAGTTATTTTACAGCTCTATACATCACTAGTTAGGCCTCATTTAGATTATGCTGCTCAGTTTTGGTCCCCTTACTACAGGATGGATATAGACTCATTAGAGAACATACAGAGAAGAATGACTAAAATGATTTACCATATGAAGATAGACTTAAAACCTTAAATCTCCACTCTCTGGAGAGACGTAGAATGAGTGGAGATATCATTGAGGTATATAAGTGGATGACGGGCATAAACAAAGGAGATACTAATAAAGTATTGAGGGTATCGAACCAGGTAAGAACCAGAAATAATGGATTTAAGTTGGATAAATTTAGATTTAGAAAGGACATTGGTAAGTACTGGTTTTCTAACAGAGTTGTGGATGCATGGAATAATCTTCCCAGTGGGGTGATAGAGGCTAGGACCTTGGGAAGCTTTAAGAAGAGATTGGACAAATATATGAGTGGGAGGGGCTGGGTTTGATTGGTGTCATTGGGTACGGGAATTAATTCTTGGGTATCTTTGGGTAGAGGTCGTTTTGATAAGGACCTGCCTTGTATGGGCCAGTAGGCCTTCTGCAGTGTTCTTCCATTCTTATGTTCTTAAGATGGTGATGGTGTGAGTAATGGTGAAAATGTTTCTTCATATTTGGGTCACTTTACCTTGTTGGGGGACAGATGGTGTTTTTAAAAGAAAAGTTTCAAAATACCCTTTCCTGTGCACCTTTATTCTCTCACTGGTATTCTAAACACCTCTCTTCTCACTGGTATTCCAAATACATGTCATCTAGCATTCTGAACATATTTTCTCTCCTGTTCCTGCATTCTGAACACCTTTTCTCTCCTGTTCCTAACACCCATCTTTTCATTAGTACTCCAGTCACCTATAATCTCAGTAGCATTTTGAGCACCTATGCCTACTCATTGATATTTTTTCATTATGAATTATGCCAGTAAACTGCAAATAATTCCTTACCATGAGACTTTTCCAGCTTGATGTGTTTGATGCTGCCGAGCGCTACCGTGAGGAAGGTCATCCAGTCGTTATCCTGGCAGGGAAAGAATATGGGTCAGGATCATCCAGAGACTGGGCTGCCAAAGGCCCCTTCCTCTTGGTAAGTTATATTGTGTAACCCAGTTTTTGTTCAGTTTATTAAAGCATGTTGCTCTTACAACAAACTGGCCATATCACACCGAGGCAGGGTGACCTAAAAAGAAAAACGAAAGTTTCTCTTTTTAACTTTAGTAACGTATACAAGAGGAGGGGTTAGTAGCCCTTCGATCCCGGCATTTTAGTTGCCTCTTACGACACACATGGTTTACGGAAGAGGAATTTTGTTCCACTTCCGCTTGTGTATATTTATTTATTTATTGTAGGTAGTAGGTTGGTAGACAGCAACCGCCCAGGGAGGTGCTACCGTACTGCCAAGTGAGTGTAAAACGAAAGCCTGTACAGTGGACCCTCGCCTAATGATATTAATCCGTTCCTGAGAGCTCAACGTTAGGCGAAATTATCGTTAGGTGAATTAATTTTCCCCATAAGAAATAATGGAAATCAAATTAATCCATGCAAGACACCCCAAAGTATGAAAAAAAAAAAATTTTACCACATGAAATATTAATTTTAATACACACAAACTGAAGAAGAGATGTACAATACATGACACTTACCTTTATTGAAGATCTGGTGATGATTGATGGGATGGGAGGAAGGGAGAGTGTGGATGGTCTTAGTGTTTAGAAGGGGAATCCCCTTCCATTAGGACTTGAGGTAGCAAGTCCTTTTCCGGGGTTACTTCCCTTCTTTTAATGCCACTAGGACCAGCTTCAGTCACTGGACCTCTGTCGCACAACATATCTGTCCATAGAGGCCTGTACCTCTCGTTCCTTTATGATTTTCCTAAAGTGTTTCACAACATTGTCAGTGTAATAGTCACCAGCACGGCTTGCAATAGCTGTGTCAGGGTGATTTTTATCAAAAAAGGTTTGCACTTTAAGCCACATTGCACACATTTCCTTAATCTTTGAAGTAGGCAACTTCTTCAATTTCTCTCTCCCCTCCTCCAGAGCAGTTTCCTCAGGTCTGGCCTCTTGCTGTTGAAGATGATCTAGCAGCTCATCAGTGGTTAGTTCTTCCACATCCTCCCCACTAACTTCACCAATATGAGCACTAGTTCCAGGCATTTTTTCCTGTTCACCTGGGTGTTAGTCAACTGTTGTGGGTCGCATCCTGGGGGACAAGATTAAGGACCCCAATGGAAATAAGTTAGGCAGTCCTCGATGATGCACTGGCTTTCTTGGGTTATCCTGGGTGGCTAACCCTCTGGGGTTAATCGTTTCTCGGTAATTGTTTCATGTTAAGCCATACCAACAACACAAACTCCACATCTTCGAGTAATACAGGTGATGGTGATGCAGCAACAGCTGACTGTGGTGCAGCAACAGCTGACCATGGTGCAGTAGCAGCTGTGGTGCAGTAGCAGCTGATTGTAGTGCAGCAACAGCTGACCAAGGTGCAGCAGCAGCTGACTGTAGTGCAGCAGCAGCTGACCGAGGTGCAGCAGCAGCAGCTGACTGTGGTGCAGCAGCAGCTGTGGTGCAGCAACAGCTGACTGGTCCAGCAACAGCTGATGGTGGTGCAGCAGCAGCTGACTGTGGTGCAGCAGCAGCTGTGGTGCAGCAACAGCTGACTGGTCCAGCAACAGCTGATGGTGGTGCAGCAGCAGCTGACTGTGGTACGATAGTATTTCTCACCCTTTTTACCACAGGGTTGGCACTAGAAGCTTTCTTGGGGCCCATGGTCACTTATTTTGCAGGTGAAATCACTAAAAACGCTGTGATAATATGAAATGTTCCGATTGTATGCTTGGATGTGACCGCGGAGGCTGGCTTGTAAACACTGCCACCCACGGAACAAGTGAGGCTGGCTCAGGCCACATGTGGACGCGTCTCGGATGAATCGCATTGAGCGAGTTTTTTAGCGCTAAGCGAGGCAAAATTTTTGCATTAAAATGTATCGCTAGGCGGATTTAACATTATGCGATGCCATCGTTAGGCGAGGGTCCACTGTATTTGTTTTACATGATGGTAAGATTGCTGGTGTCTTTTTTCTGTCTCATAAACGTGCAAGATTTCAGGTACATCTTGCTACTTCTACTTACACTTAGGTCACACTACACATGCATGTAAGAGCATATACAGCCTCTCCTCACTTAGCGACATACTTGTTTACCGACACCTCAGACTTACGATGGGCTCTCTGACCAGTATATGTACCTAAATAAAGTATATTAGAGCAGATTTCCTATGTTCTGTTTATTACTGTATAAGCATTTAAGAATATGTATAACAAAAATGTTGTAAATGGTGCAGAGGTGACATTAAAACAATATCAGAGATGATTGATACAAACCCACTACCATTATAGTATGCTCCTCACTTAGCAATGAATTCATTTACCAATGTGGTCTTAGGAACAGAACTCCATCATTAAGTGAGGAGAGGCTGTATATACACACCCCTCTGGGTTTTATTCTATTTTCTTACTGGTTCTTGTTCTTGTTTATTTTCTCTTATCTCCATGGGGAAGTGGAACAGAATTCTTCCTCTGTAAGCTATGCATGTCATAAGAGGCAACTAAAATGCTAGGAGCAAGGGGCTAGTAATCCCTTCTCCTGCATATATTTCTAAATTTAAAATGAGAAACTTCTGTTTTTCCTTTTGGGTCACCCTGCCTCGGTGGGATTCGGCTGATTTATTGAAAGAAAGAAGAAAGAACATGTGTAGAGTGACTTAAGTGTAAGTAGAAGTAGGGAAATACAGTGGACCCCCAGTTTACGATATTATTTCATTCCAGAAGTATGTTCAGGTGCCATTACTGTACGAATTTGTTCCCATAAGGAATATTGTGAATTAGATTAGTCCATTTCAGACCCCCAAGCATACACATAAAAACGCACTTACATAAATACTTACATAATTGGTCGCATTGGGAGCTGATCGTAAAGCGGGGGTCCACTGTATACCTGTTATATTGCATGTTTATGGGACAGAAAAAATACCAGTAATCCTAACCATTGTGTAAAACAATTACAGGTTTCCATTTCATACTTATTTGGTGGAATGGTAGTACCTCCCTGGGTGGCTACTGTCTACCAACCTACTGTATAATAATATAAAGATATGAATTATTTCTCTCACATTGTTAATTACATGGACAGGGTGTGCGTGCTGTGATTGCTGAGTCGTATGAGCGCATCCATCGTAGCAACCTTGTAGGAATGGGCATCATTCCAATGCAGTTCTTGGAGGGTGAGACAGCAGAATCTTTGGAAATTTCTGGGAAAGAAACCTTCACTATTGATCTTCCAGAGGACATGAAGACAGGAATGATTGTACCCGTTCATGTAAGTAACGTGTAAAGATAGGAGGATGTTTTATAAAGTTGGCATGATAGAATTAAATAAATGGCAACATTGTGCTCAGTTCACCTTATTTACTCACTGGATGATTTTAATGATGATAGTAATGAATAGACAAAGGTGCAGAGCAAACCCTGCTTTAGCTGAGTATCTTTGTTTACGATTTTTAAAATCTATGGTCAAGTGTATCAATTAATATACATATACATAAGTATGGCTAGTGCATATTCATGTACAGTACAGACTTCATTTTTATTTGTCACTTTGGTAATTCAGTTTCTTATTGTCAAAAGCCTTTGCTCTATAGGCTAAATCATAGCCCAATCTGAACTAGATGAAGACAGTGGTCATCATTTGATCTTCCCTTGATATTAAACAACAATGTCAAAGTGGCAGTTACAAATATAAATAGATCATTACCAACCACTTATGACATTGCTATTCTTTTGGACATTGCAAAATAGTGAAAGACTCACATTTAAGACAAAGCTTAATCTAATTCTCAAATTAAGAAGTGAGAGCACTAAATTACATATATAAGCATACAGTAGAACCCTCTCCCTTCCATCTGCATATTCAGTTATCCAGGGATTATCATGGCCTGAAAATTACTCTTAATTTTGCTTAGTAATGGCCATAAAGCACAAAAGTAGTGTTGTGGCAGTTCTTCTAGGCCCAAGAGAAGTCGTGAAGTACTTCCCATAAATGAAAAAGTGTTAATTCTTGACTGACTGTGAGTAATATATCAGTTAAACTTTACCATAAGTATATATGAAAACAAAAAAAAAAATGACTTATAGGGTTTGCCACTATGCACAGTTTCAGGTATCCACAGTAGGTCTTGGAATATATTCCTCTTGGATACAAGGGGACTGCTGTGATTTGTTTATTAGGAATGTAAAACACGTGTAGAATTGGACCATTATTGAGAGGAGATTCGTATACTGACGATGAACAGGAAATGAGTGAAATCCTAAAAGAAGTATGAGTCGGTGTTCAGCAATCCACTAAATGAAAGGAAAGTAGAAAATGCAGAAACATTTTTCACTTTAGCAGAAGGCCAAAGAGACCAACTAACTGACATTAGTACAAATGCCTTAGATTTCGAAAAAGAAATGGATAACATGCCCACTCACTCAGCACCTGGACCAGATTAACCCTTTGACTGTTTTGGCCGTACGTAGCAGAAATGTTCGATTTTTTTCCAAAGTTCAAAAGTAAACAAATCATGCCACGCGTCCAATACACGTCAGCTGGTGAGCCTAATATTCTTTCACAAGTGCGCTGATATTATTTATACCATTTCTACACTAATGCAGTAGTCTGCATAACAGTAAATCTTCTATTTTTTGTGAGAATAAAAATTCTAAGTGGAAAGCAAAAGAAATGTAAGAAAGGCCTGGGGACGTGACTAATGAACAGAAATTTTTTTATTTTAGTGCCAGAAATGTGTCTTGTTTATTCTGGACCCTATTTGGAAATAGGCATCTTACGAAATTTGTGTGAAATTGGCAAAATTGCCAATTTCTGACCACTTTATTGGATAGTTGAAATCGGTAAATGGGTGGTTTCTTGTACTCATTCGATAGAAAAAATGGAGTTCCAGCGAAATAGTTATGATTTTTGTTGACTGGTACATTGGAATTGGCAGAAAATAGGGCTCAAAGTGGGCGAAATCGCCACTGTGTAAACATCATCAATACCGCTAACTTCGTGAGAGCATAATTCCGTAAGTTTTCCATCAAATTTCGTACTTTTGGTGTCATTATGATTGGGAAAAGATTCTCATTTCATAAGATTTTTTTTTTTTTTTCAAAAAAATTTCCGACCCTGAGAACAAGTTTAGGAGAGGGCCTGTCGACCCTAAAAGGGTTAAGGGACTTTGATCCTCTTTGTTTAGATGATGTTACCATTGCTTGCACTGGCACAGATATTCAGTAAATGTCCTCCTTGCAGGGTGAAAGTCATTGTACATTTCAATAGGTTACATCAGAAGACTTCAGATTTTCAGTATCTAAAACTTATATTTATTCAGCATCCTGTTGCTTCTCTTTTTGTACTATGTGTGATTCCCCTGTCTTGGACTACCAAACTGTTTATATTCCTTAATGTCCTCTTTTGACTGGAATGTTAAGGAAATTACATATGATTGAATTTGTGAAAAATTTTGTGACATTACTTCAGGGGCCAATTGACCAATTCTTTTAAACCTGATTATGGGGATCAGGTGTATTCATTTGCTTCATTCCAAGCTTGATACCATCCATTATCAAGGACTGTATGTCTTGGTACCTTTTGATCATCCATGGTTGAAAGCTTGTGTGTAGTGTCTAATGTCCTGTCATTGCAAGACTGTTGAGATACTTCTGTCTATGTTGTTTGGTACACTTTCATGACCTTCATGATCCTGTTATCTATAAAGTAATCACAAATGTTAGTCAGGCTGACACTTTCAACAGTAGTCTTTCTGTATCATGCCCTTTTAACCTTCACTGTCAGACTAGCTACTTTTCTCAGCTTGCCTCCCTTGTCTGTTCACTTTGTTTATTGCTTTTCTCTTCCTCCATGGGAGGTAATGGTGATTTTGTTCCTTCTTTCTTTCCCCTTCCTAAATCTCTTATCATGGTTATGAATATGTGCTCTCTTCCTTGACCATACTGCTGCTGTGCACACATTGTATCTAAATCTTCTGATGGCATAGGATATTCCAATGTTTTCTGGATAGTGAAATACTGGGACACTTGCTGAATTTGATTATTTTCATGGCAGAGTTGTGTGTACTTATTGTAGCTCGCATCCACATTGCTCATCATCCTACTTTTTTGTTGTAATCTGAGACACTTAAGTGCATTACAAACCTTTCGGAGCTTTGACTCCTCACATCCCATCATTCTTTGCAGTCAGTGCTGGCTGTCTCATCTTCAGCAAGCATAAAGACATTGTCTTCTGCTGGATCCTAGGTCATTCTGGTGTCCAGGGCAATGAATTTGGACTCCTCTGTATATTCTGCAGGCCATGACCTGTCTTTCTCTTGCAGGGATATACCTTACTCAGACTATTTTCCAGTTTTGTGTAAGAGCATTCAGGATCATTACCAACATCATTGGTCCAAGATAGAGGACAAGTTGTTTTTGATTAAATCACAGTTGGTTTCTTGGTAAACTTCTTTTCATTGTTATAACACTTGGGAAATTGTTCTCTTACAACTGCATATTTACCATACAAAACACAACCAACTCACACAGAGAGGCAACTGACACCTCTCTAATTTGTCAGGTATTGTTCACAGTCGAATGCCTTTTGCTTAATTGTACCATTTATCAAAGAGCATGTTTTGATTGAAACTCTTATTACATTAACTTTAGCTTATTTTGTTATCTTATAATTTTGACACACTATTGTTCTTAGCTGATAGCTTGTGTCAGGCTTTTGGCACATGATAACCTTTACAGGTGAGTGCATTTTGTGAAAAATATAAAAATGGTAATAGTAATAATTAATATAGAGGGAAAAAGGTGGGTGGTGCATTGAGGCATCTGTGGAAACCTGGAACTTTTTCCACAGAAGCAAGGAGAATGTACTCTACTACAGCTGTACAATACCAACACTGTTATATCGGTGTGAAGCATGGGTTTTAAATGGTGCAGCTTGGAGGAGGCTGGGAGCAGTGAACATGTTTGAGGGCACTGTGGGATTTGAATATTATGCAGAGAATGTGGATCATGAATATGAGGTGTGGTTACCATGGTATAATTCAAGAGGGCTTAGTAGGGGTTGTTGAAGTGGTTTGGGCACTTGAGAGGATGTGCCAGAGTAGGATGACTAGGAGTGTATATAAACTGGGGTGGAGGGAAGTAGAGAAAGGGGTCATCCCAAGAAGGGTTAGAGGGAGGGGTAAAGGAGGGTTGGAGTGCTAGGGGCTTGAACATCCAACAGACTTCTATGGGTATATTAAATTGATGTGAGTGGAGGCCAGTGATTTTTGTGACCTGACATGCTGTTGAGGTGTGAGCAAGGTAATATTTATAAAGGGTTTCAGGGAAACTGGGTTATCCAGACTTGAGTCTTAGAAGTGGTAGTACAGTCCTTGCACATTATCAGATGCTGTTTAATTTTTGATGCTATTAACTTAACACATGCTGTTGTATCTGTATCCTCCTTGCTAATTTCTTATTGATGTATTTACAGCTTAGTGATGGACGTTCATTTGAAACTGTTCTTCGGTTTGATACTGAAGTGGAGCTGATGTACTTTCGCCATGGTGGTATCCTCAACTACATGATTCGCAAAATGATTCAGTGAAGGGGATTTTATTACCAACCTGAATTTAGAAACATTCATTAAATGTTAATAAACCAAAGTAGTTAACATAATGGGATTTAATGGTAGCTGAAAACAAATATCTGTACATATGTACTATTTGCATAGATGAAACAATATTTTTATTATTACAGTATTGTTATACGATACCTTGCACACTGAAGAATAACAGCAGAGCAAAATAAAAAAAAAGCTTGAGTGGTCCTATTAGCCAATACCACCATTGATTCTGGGTGTTTTCATTTATGAACATTATATGCTTAGATCATAGTTTAAATAGTTGCTAGTGGTTAGCCTTAAACTTTTGTTTTATATATATATATATATATATATATATATATATTCTTTTTTGTTAGGTTGGGTTAGTAAGGTTTTTTAATGAGCATATCAAACCTTTAAATATTTAAACGATTTGGCAAGATTTTTCATTGCATGTAAAACTGTCAGAAAGTGTCTTCTTGATGAGATGATAGAAATTATATTCTGCAAGTTACTGACTGTACTTTCAGTACCATAGTGTAATACATATATTTACAATAAAGCAGAAATGTTTAGAGACTCAAAAACACTTTCTTCTGTGTTTTTCATTTGGCTTCACTTCCTGTACAAAGCCCAGATGTCCCAAAATTTTCATGGGGGGGATAAAAAGCGGATCTTCCATTTTGCACTTATAAGCTAACATTCATGTTGTGCTGTCAATAGGAAATTCATAACCCTACATTTTTATTGTGTATGTATGTATGTGCTATCCAAAGATGTGGAAATTTATTGCATTTTGCTCAGAAAATAATTACAGTTGTAAAAATAAATCTACCTTTATGTGTGTCATAACATAGCTAATTAATTACTCATTTTGATTGCTGGGATTTGTATAATCACAAATAATTTGGGAATTTGATTTAGAAGTTATATACCAAAATATTTTTAACATTAAGGATTGTTAGAACACTTGTCATTTTTTTATACATTTCCATATCAAATTGTTTCTGAATATAGTCCATATTATAAATTGATATTCAATGTAATCAAATTAATACATGCCTGAAAATTAGACAAATAACACATGGCAAAAGAGTTTGTTCTAGTGGTGCTCAGGGAATGATAAAGCATATAATTAATAACATTCACAAATGTTAAGTTGTACAACCCATATAGGTTTACTGCTTTTTTGCAAAAGTAATAATATACCAGAAAAATGTATATGCTATAAACATTATATAATATTACATGTTTATAGTATAATTTTTATGTTCTTATTGTGAATATACAATATATTTGATGTCTAACTAGTTTTTTTTTTTTTTCCAGATAGACAGTTTCTGAAATATGACAAGATATTGCACAGGTTTAGCACAAATTACTGCAGTAAATTATAGCTGAGGTATTAATCATATGTAATTGTCCTTGAAATTTGTAAATCTTAATTTTTTCTTTTAATTGGTTTTGCAAATATTTTAAGAATGCTAGTTACACTGATATTTATGATTATATCTTTTATTAAAGTACTGTTTAGTGGTTATTATGACTTGTTTCATTCCAGTATTACTCTTAATTATTATATTTAGGTCTGAAATTAGCTGCATATAGTGTAATAGGAAATCTTGAAATTTGCCAATGCAATAATTCAAAATTCTTTCTTTCTTTCGACACACCAGCCGTATCCCACTGAGGCGGGGTGGCCCAAAAGGAAAAACGAAAGTTTCTCCTTTTTTTTTTTTTTTTTTTTTTTTTTTTTTTTCAACAAGTCGGCCGTCTCCCACCGAGGCAGGGTGACCCAAAAAAGAAAGAAAATCCCCAAAAAGAAAATACTTTCATCATCATTCAACACTTTCACCACACTCGCACATTATCACTGTTTTTGCAGAGGTGCTCAGAATACAACAGTCTAGAAGCATAAACATATAAAGATACACAACATATCCCTCCAAACTGCAATATCCCAAACCCTCCTTTAAAGTGCAGGCATTGTATTCCATTTCCAGGACTCAAGTCCGACTATATGAAAATAACCGGTTTCCTGAATCCCTTCACTAAATATTACCCTGCTCACACTCCAACAGATCGTCAGGTCCCAAGTACAATTCTCTCCATTCACTCCTATCTAACACGCTCACGACCGCTTGCCTGGAAGTCCAAGCCCCTTACCCACAAAACCTCCTTTACCCCCTCTCTCCAACCCTTTCGAGGACGACCCCTACCCCGCCTTCCTTCCCCTATAGATTTATATGCTTTCCATGTCATTCTACTGTGATCCATTCTCTCTAAATGACCAAACCACCTCAACAACCCCTCTTCTGCCCTCTGACTAATACTTTTATTAACTCCACACCTTCTCCTAATTTCCACACTCCGAATTTTCTGCATAATATTTACACCACACATTGCCCTTAAACAGGACATCTCCGCTGCCTCCAACCGTCTCCTCGCTGCTGCATTTACCACCCAAGCTTCACACCCATATAAGAGTGTTGGTACTACTATACTTTCATACATTCCCTTCTTTGCCTCCATAGATAACGTTTTTTGACTCCACATATACCTCAACGCACCACTCACCTTTTTTCCCTCATCAATTCTATGATTAACCTCATCCTTCATAAATCCATCCGCCGACACGTAAACCCTCCCAATATCGAAAAATTCACTTCTTCCATACTCCTCCTCCCCAATTTGATATCCAATTTTTCTTTATCTAAATCATTTGACACCCTCATCCCCTTTAAACTCTTTTCTATGTTCACTTTCAACTTTCTACCTTTACACACATTCCCAAACTCATCCACTAACCTTTGCAATTTTTCTTTAGAATCTCCCATAAGCACAGTTCATCAGCAAAAAGTAACTGTGTCATTCCCATTTTGAATTTGATTCCCCAAAATTTAATCCCACCCCTCTCCCAAACACCCTAGCATTTACTTCCTTTACAACCCCATCTATAAATATATTAAACAACCATGGTGACATTACACATCCCTGTCTAAGACCTACTTTTACCGGGAAGTAGTCTCCCTCTCTTCTACACACCCTAACCTGAGCCTCACTATCCTCATAAAACTCTTTACAGCATTTAATAACTTACCACCTATTCCATATACTTGCAACATCTGCCACATTGCTCCTCTATCCACTCTATCATATGCCTTTTCTAAATCCATAAATGCAATAAAAACTTCCCTATCTTTATCTAAATACTGTTCACATATATGCTTCAATGTAAACACCTGATCTACACATCCCCTACCCACTCTAAAACCTCCTTGCTCATCCGCAATCCTACATTCTGTCTTACCTCTAATTCTTTCAATTATAACCCTACCGTACACTTTCCTGGTTATACTCAGTAAGCTTATTCCTCTATAATTTTTACAGTCTCTTTTGTCCCCTTTCCCTTTATATAAAGGGACTATACATGCTCTCTGCCAATCCCTAGGTACCTTCCCCTCTTTCATACATTTATTAAACAAAGTACCAACCACTCCAACACTATATCCCCCCCTGCTTTTAACATTTCTGTCATGATCCCATCAGTTCCAGCTGCTTTTACCCCCTTTCATTTTACGTAATGCCTCACGTACCTCCCCCACACTTACATTCTGCTCTTCTTCACTCCTAAAAGATGGTATACCTCCCTGACCAGTGCATGAAATTACTGCCTCTGTTTCTTCCTTAACATTTAAAAGTTCCTCAAAATATTCTCGCCATCTACCCAATACCTCCATCTCCCCATCTACTAACTCCCTACTCTGTTTTTAAACTGACAAATCCATATTTTCCCTAGGCTTTCTTAACTTGTTTAACTCACTCCAAAATTTTTTCTTATTTTCATTAAAATTTCTTGACAGTGCCTCTCCCACTCTATCATCTGCTCTCCTTTTGCACTCTCTCACCACTCTCTTTACCTTTCTTTTACTCTCCATATACTCTGCTCTTCTTATAACACTTCTGCTTTGTAAAAACCTCTCATAAGCTACCTTTTCTTTTTATCACACCCTTTACTTCATCATTCCACCAATCACTCCTCTTTCTCCCTGCCCCACCCTCCTATAACCACAAACTTCTGCCCCACATTCTAATACTGCATTTTTAAAACTATTCCAACCCTCTTCAACCCCCCCATACTCACTTTGCACTAGCCCACCTTTCTGCCATAGTCGCTTATATCTCACCCGAACTTCCTCCTCCCTTAGTTTATACACTTTCACTTCCCTCTTACTTGTTGTTGCCACCTTCCTCTTTTCCCATCTACCTCTTACTCTAACTGTAGCTACAACTAAATAATGATCCGATATATCAGTTGCCCCTCTATAAACATGTACATCCTGGAGCCTACCCATCAACCTTTTATCCACCAATACATAATCTAATAAACTACTTTCATTACGTGCTACATCATACTTGTATATTTATTTATCCTCTTTTTCATAAAATATGTATTACTTATTACCAAATTTCTTTCTACACATAGCTCAATTAAAGGCTCCCCATTTACATTTACCCCTGGCACCCAAATTTACCGGCATACTCCCTCCATAACATTTTTAGCCCACTTTAGCATTAAAATCCCCAACCACCATTACTCTCACACTTGATTCAAAACTCCCCACGATTCACGTCAAATTTTCCCAAAATCTCCTCTCTCCTCTACACTTCTCTTCTCCAGGTGTATACACGCTTATTATAACCCACTTTTCACATCCAATCTTTATTTTACTCCACATAATCCTTGAATTAATACATTTATAGTCCCTCTTTTCCTGCCTAGCTTATCCTTCAACATTTATTGCTAAAACTACTTTCATTACGTGCTACATCATAACCTTGTATATTTAGTTTATCCTTTTTT